TAGTAGGTGGAGGCCATTGCTTCTAGGTTGGAGGCCATCGCTAGTAGGTGGAGGCCATTGTTTCCAGGCTGGAGGCCATTGCTATTGGGTCTAAAGAACGTTTGACTTTGCTGGAAGGGTCGCCTACACTGTCGCCTTCCACCCGTCATCCAGTCCCTCGGGATTCGCCGACGATGCGTCCAGGGAGGTCGTCTAGAAGAATCATCGGTGAGATGTGAGAATAGGGAATCAGCTCACCAATGAGGGAATTGCTCACCAGTGAATGAGTGAAGAATATTGGGAATGAGGGAATCAGCCCACCATAGATTTCAACGATTTTCTACAATATCACCCGTGAGGCTTTTCATGCTTTCGCAGGATGAATTGCTGGAAAACGCAACATATGGTTTGTGAGTCAACAATTAGGCCAAATTCTTCTAGTTAACGCTACATATCATAAAAGATCATAATCCCTGAAAGCTGAAATCTTCACACCCTGATGGCTCTCCAAATTTGTAGGAGGTTGACTGAAGCAGTATATAGTATTCTTTGGCTGCATTGGATTTTAGATGTGTGAGGCACTTGGCATCTCGTTTTCTTGCTTTGATGAGGGTGTTTCTCTGCTTTGGAGCTGGTGCTCCTGCTGGTTGTATCTCCAAAGCTTTCGCAAGTTATCTTTTGACGTTGATCCTGTGGGCACTCAATATGCCATGTTGACGACGTCAAGTTGAGGAGGGAGTTCTCTATATAGACTGCTGGACCACACTTGGGCTGATATCATCACTCTTGAAAGTGCCTTCTCTTCAGAACGAGGGTGAGCGCGGGGGATTCGTGCTTATTCAAAGTGAATGTCAATCCATGGTAACGTATCGAATATGTATGTCACGTTGAATACGCACGAATGAATACTAATGACTTTACATCTAATATGTATGTCACTTTAATATCCGTTTCCTTATTCACTGTATGTCACTGTCGACTTGGTGAAATGCGCTTCGCAATGCTTCGCATCTCACCAATGGGCAGGGACTTGCAACCCATTTCTTCCCATTTCTTCTTCCATCGCTCGTCAGGTCTACGGCTTCTACGCGGAATGCGTGCGGAAGTACGGGGATGCCACGGCTGCTCGGGCCAAAAGAGAACACGTCGCAATGATGGCTAGGAGGGGAAACTTCTGGAGATTGGCCTCCCTCTGGATTTGTGAATTGTTCTCACTGTTTTCATATCAGGTTTCTGATTTTCAGATGGCTCAGAACCTCACTCTGGTCTGAACACCTCGTTGTTTGCTCGATCCATCGTTGGTCTTTCAAAGCCACAGTGCAAGAAACATGTTCCCGGGGCCACCGGGCAGCCCGAGGGTACTTGTACCATATTCATGTCTAGTCAAAGCCACTTGGAAGGTGTATATATATATATATATAGTAGAGGGACTTCTCTTGAAGCTGACCTCAGCAGACTTCAAGATTGAAGACCCTTTCAGTGCTTCTTTGGCGACCACAGCTCTGTTCGCAGGCAGACATCAACGTCAATGTGGATTGGCATAGTTGTGTTTTCAGTGCCTCTGTGTCAGATCACTCCGAAGTTTCAGTGACTAGCAAAACTATCTAAAACTTCAGTAACAGTAATGTGATGTGATTTTCATCCTCAATGGCATGGCCTTGTTTGGGTCACCAGACCCAGAACCAGACCCACCAGACCATGTATGCTCGTGGGCTGCGGGGTGGGTATGCTAGCTGGTCAGGGAAAGCTGCCGCAACGAGGTCTGGCAGTGCTTTACGGAGCTGTTCGATTACCTGCCCATTGCTGCTTCAGTGCCGACCCTCCGCTGAAGCTCAGCCGTGATCCGTGGCTTCAGCATCCTTGATTTGACCTGGAACCTGGCGGAGTCGGGCGATGTTCATTTCCCCTTATGGGTCAATCTCCGAAACTGGACCCTTCTGGGGACTCTGTTTGCCCGGTGAACCAAGAGCCGCAAATCCAAGTTCAGCCGCAATGAGCGGACCTTGGCAAGGTGGCAGGCAGAAGGGTATCTGCATGCCTGGAGTGATCTTGGGAAGCAAAACAGATTTCCCCTTGGAAAACAGATCCCCCGACCTCAAAGACCAGATCGTTTACTAGGCTTTGCAGCTCCGAAACGGCGCTGCAGCTCAGAAATCCATGGCAAGTTGGTCAGTTGCTTCAGGGAGAGATTCAGTATTTACTGCAAAAATGTTTATCGTTGCTTCTGAATCTTCTTCTTCTCGTGTCGTTGCCTCGTCGGGTGTTTCAGAACCACTCCCCATTTCTCGCTCTGGCCCCCGAAGTCGCTCGCGGCTCTGGGGAAGGCCGCGGCGACGGCTCTGGGGCCTCCGGGGCCTGTCAGGCAGAAAGCTGCCTGTACTCTTTGGTAGACATGACACGTAGCAATCGCAGCGAGTCGTGTGAAGCCACGGTGATGTTTCCGGGAAGGCGGACTACGCACGGTGGCCATCGCTAGTAGGTTGGAGGCCATCGCTACGGACGTAAGAAGAAGCTACGATAGTAGCTCCTGGCATCCCTACTAGGAACAAGAAGCGTCATGAGTATAGGGAAGAACTAGGCTCAATCGAGATTGGTCGCACGGCACTGGAAAAGCAGGGAATTGTGAGCACACTGGTGACATGGCTTTTGATATCGCAGATGGCTATCGGGAAAACAACTGACCCACTTGTTTGGATTGCCATGCCACTTGCTCTGAAATCTGGGAAAAAGGGCTCGGAAGACAAAAGAGTACAACAGAATACAACAGACATAATCTGGTTTCACTGCACCATTGGATGCACCTCGCCATCGACTCCCGATGGCGAACTTGGACGAGTCCGACGTGGAAGAAGCGGAGGAGACCCGGGCCACCAGTCGTAGGTGGGCGCACAGCGCATGGTCCTGGCCACCATCTGGGGATAGGTCAAAACCTGGAGCTCGGATGAGCTCGGAGCCCTGGTTCACCACCGAATGAACTTCCAGATAGGTCAGATAGGTCAACCAAGGCATCCTGGTTGGGCACCAGCCATCTTCAAATCCAACGGAATCCGGGTTCTCCCCCTGACACCATGGCTCACAGGGAAGGAAGGTGGCCTCACCTGCGGTGATTTCGACCAGCTGAGGAGCTGCGGCCGGTAGCTGAACCTTTGATTGAAACAGCACCACCGGAAGCGCTCAGGTGTTTTCCTTTCTTGGGGGATGAGCCAAGTGTTCACAGAGAATGATTTCTCTGCATACCGAATGACACGGCTTTTGAGTATGGCTCCAACTATGGCGGGCGCCTCCCCCTCCAAAAACGCAAGCTTGTCAAGGAAGAATGGCCGGAAATGTACTTTCTCTTCGCTGCTTGATCAGCGCCACACCTGAAGCGCTCAAAGTTCTGCGGTCGCTGATGTTTTGGTTGCGGTCAAGCTCCAATCCATTGGATTCTAGAAAGATCGAGAGCCTCCGCAACATCAACATGGTCAACACCGCCTGTAGTTCTTGTGCCTCCAAATCACTGTGGGGCCATCTCCAGAGTAGCTTCTCCCATCCCAAACGGAGAAAAACGACCTCCCAACAGCACCCGCGCACAGGCCAGCTTCGCCTCCCGAGGCTGGGGCAGTTTGGTTTGGAGGTTTTGGTCATCCAACTATGGTGTAGAGTGGGCCATCAAGCTGAGCCATGGTTTGGGGCCCCGGGACTTCCAGCTGGAGCTCGAAAGCTTCCACCGGGTCAAGTGGGTAATTTCATGAGACGCCTGCGGCTCCCCTGACACGACCTGATTCGCCCACCCCCCCCAAAGAGCTCATGTAAGATGGTTCACCTGGAATCGTTGAAGCAAAAACCTTCAACTATATAGACTAGGTTCTTTCCCCAAACAACCCTTGTTGAAGCAAACACCTAAACTACCAAAACATCAAAGAACCACCTTGAAATGGTTCGGGGTACACCGGTGTATGGTTCTCTCCATGAGCTCGTTGAGGCTGTTGTTGGGCTGTTGGTGGATTTGTGTGTGAAGATTGTCCCAGGCCGATGTGACAGGCATTCTCCTTGTCACACGGTGGCAAGGAGACCTTCAGCAGCCAGTCAAGCCCGGACTTTCGTTCGCACTTCTCTGCACACTGGCAGCATTTATCAGCTTCTGGCCGAGAAGTAGATGTCTTCTTGAATAATCCCATAATTATGGCACATCTGAAGTTTGCCTAGCAGATCTGAAGTTTGCCTAGCGAAGCAACCTAGCATAACAACCACGTGCTTTGGTGTTTGACAGGAACTAACACAACTTTTAGGATTGGAGACCATTCCATGATTCCATGAGCACCTGCAAAGATCTTAGAGCATGAAGACACTGACCTTTGCGCTGGCACCCTCTTTTTGGATCTTTTTGGGGTGACACACCTCTATTGTTCTTCAACGAGTCTACATGAACCACCGGTGCTTGCCACTTCCCCCCGCTGTTCGCCTGTTCTTCTCACACCCGACCTTGGCTTCTCCGACCCGCCATGCCAATCAACTTCGACTGGTTTGATTTGACTCCCTTTGCCACTGAGATGCACCAAGTTCTTCTGCTTGGTATGACACACCGTCCCTTGAAACGAGGACCCGAACGGTCAAGAAGCTCGAACTGGCAGTTTGCTTGATTTCTGGTGTGAAAGTTATGTTTCTACCTGAAGTTCATTGAGTTTCGACTATATACCAAGGTTTCTTGAAGAACTGCTTGGGACGACTTTTCACTGTCGCTCATATCCTTCACAGTCCCCGACTCCTGAGTATGTTGAAAACGACGGACTGGACCAGTTGGTCCTTTTTTCACCATGGGTCCACCAGTCGATCCTCATGATTGAAGGACGGCTCTTCTGAAAGAATCACAGACATGAGGAGCGACCGGCGCGACCGAGACGGTGTCGCGACGACCCCCAAGGCCAACCCTTACTTCGTGGAGACGGGCTTCTTCCAGGGCGAGGGAGCCATGAAGGCCTTGGCCAGTGGCCTCTTCCAAAAGGTCATCTCCATCGAGGCCGCATTTGGCCGTCGATTTCTCCACGGCTACGCGCAACACACGGTGGGGGTGGCCGTTTCGCCCTGGCTTCGCCGGAAAAGATGACGTAGGCATGCGTCTATGCGAGGTTTACTTGAACGGAAGAGCCTGAAAGACAGGGATTGGAGCACTGTTGAGGCACCCTTGGCTGACAGCCACAATGTCCCACTCCAAAGTTTGATGATTCCGTTCCAACTGGCTGCGGCTGCAAGAATGCAATCTTGCCGCGGTTCTCCCTACTACTGAGGAGAACACTTCAGTAGCACAAGCACTACGGAAGATGGCTGGATGATTCACCAGAGCTGGAGGTCGAATTATTCTTTTTTTGTTTGGAAGCAGCTGGGGCTTCCAGCTCGCCCCTTTTTTTGCACATTCTTGAACAGTACCCCACTCTCTCGTGGGCAGAAACAAGGGATGCCCCCTTTTTGGGGTGCTCTCGGCTTAAATGTCTAGTCAGATGATGTTGAGCAACTCTTTGTTTAACCCACCCCTTTGGAAAGACTGAAGCTAAGAGTTCCGTAGAACGAAAAGCAGACATTCTCTCGAATCGGAAACCGGAGACCTGGACCTACCGCGGTGCAGAGAGATTTGACCGTTGGTTTCACATCTTCCCAGGGGGTCTGCAGGGTCTCCAGTGTGGAGTATGAAGAACCCAGACTTCTGGTTTCGGCGCCCGCTGGCTGCGCGCAGCCCTGGGCTCCAGGTCAACAAGGAGTTGGTGGCTCGCGCACAAGAGCGCTTCAGACTGCCATTGGCAGCTGGGCTCTTGAAGGCCCGTGTCAGAATACATCCGCACGATTGGACTGTCTTACGGTGTATGTCAAAGTGTATTATATTAATTGACTTTCAGACCATATTAGATAATACACCCCAAAAACCATACTACAGTATATGTTAGACCATCTCCGTATTAGACTTTGTATTTGTTTACCCACAAACCGAACGGGAACCGATAGAACATGATAGAACCAGGGTAAAAACCTCACGCTGGGCTCTTGAGGTCAGGACCCACCACACGGAAGCGACAAGCGATCGACATCTACCCCGCAACAGGCAGATGGATAGACCACTGTTTGTATCAAAAGTTCAGCTGGTGATGGACAGAAATCCAAGACGTCGCCAATTCATTCACCATCACCAGTCAGCTGCCACTTTTCGATCACGCTGGCGGCCCGACCTGCGGGTATCTTGACTTTCTGAACTGCGACCCCCCCTAATCGCCAGGTGGTGCATGATGATTCGGTACACCTCTTCCAACATATTCAATCTTTGGAGGAGCGCCTTGGTGATGAAGGGAGCCCTTGGTGGTGATGTGGTGATGAGCCCCCCTTTCGAAACGTTTTCTCCGCGCGGACCAGTGGAAGAAGTGCAGTCTTCTGGTGTTCGCGGACCGGTCGTTTTTCCACCAAAAGGAGGTGTTCTCTGGAGCCGTTCGACCTCGCACGCACGAGGTGGAGCGAAGCGAACCGTTCGACCCCCGGCGACGTTCGGAGGTTGATCATCCAGAAACATCCAAGAACCGGGTTCATGGCACGCCCCTTGCGCATGTGGCCGGTGGTCTTCGTTTTTTCGGCCGAAGTCTTCGGCGGCTGGACTTCGGCTATGCCGAGGCCTTGCACCTTCTTCTTGGATGCCCATGGGCATTGGGTCCAGGACGAAGTCTCATCGTGACCTCATCGCGCGTCTTTCTTCGGCGGAGAAGCGTTGTCGGGTGAATGAGGCCAGCGTACAGACGGGTCGCCAGAGGCAATGTTCCTGATGGGCTGCAGATTCATCAGAGTCGCCCAAGAGAACATTTGGAGCTCTAAGCCAAGGTGTTTTGCATGGTTTTTGAAGAAGGAGAAAGGGGCCCGGCATGAGTTGTTTCATTTGCACTTGACACCAATTCCATACCAGCGGTGCAAATGGACGTTCATCCCCCCCAAAGGATCCCTTATGTTGCAGGTTGCACGATGCGTAGGGAGTGGGGAGGGGTTGGAGGGGTTGCTGACCCAAACTTGCATCCCTTTTTTCCGGGGACGTCTCTTCTTGTCACTCAAAGTTTCAGGCACTTCTTCTCATTCCACCTCACGGAACCCGTCTGCGCAGGAGAAGATGGAAGAACCTCACCTTCCGTCTGCGCGCAAAGTGACTCCTTCGTGCCTTGGGCGGCGAAGAAGACCCTCTCGGGACGTGGTTTCTGAGTCGAAGAACGCTCCTGGCGTTGACGTGTCCCGACATGGCCGCAGGAGAGACGTGCTTCCGTTTAAGCCTCCCTTACGCACGCAATTCAGTGATGACAGCTGTGGCTCTTCCTCTTTCAGCCTCCCAAGCAATGACAGCTGTGGCTTGGCCACTGGCCCGATCCGATGTGGTTAAGATATTGTGAACGACCAGTTGAATGACCACCGGTTCAGCCCCAAGAGTTTGGACCGCCGCAGACGGCTTGACCGCTTGCGGCAAAGTACTGTAGACACTTCCTCAGGACTTTCTGGGACTATAGTACAGTATACATAATATATCATAATATATCATAATATTATGATACTCTAGAGAGAGTCATTTGCCCTTAGAAAAGCACTTTTCAAGAATTGATACTATACCAGCTGCTTCCAAGGGTTTACCAATGGACAACCCTACACTGCCTTATAAAGGTAAACCAATTGGACACCCATTCGAAGCACTAGGTCTAGAGAGGCCATTTCCCCTTGGAAGAGCAGGCGAAGGCCATGGTCAGCAAAGTCTATTTGTCCAGTTTGTCCCAGATCACTTTGCCAAGAATTGGGGGGGGGTTCAGTTCGCCAGACCCCCGTGTCGTAGCCATGTCGCCCAGCATATGCTCTGGTTCCGAGACCGGAACCTGAGAACCACAGTGGCGTTGTGGAACATCGTCTCCCAGTCTGGGTCCGTGCCATCAGGTTGTTCATTCTTCCTCGTGGACACCTTTTGTTTTCGCCTTCTTTTTGGCGGCCCGAACCGCATGCTTCTAGACCTTCGGGTTCTGAGCGGTTTGTTTTTTCTTTTTTTAATTTGTTTGCCACCCATCTTATGACTCCTTCAGCACGGGCCCAAGAGAGACATCTAGCCTGGAACTAGATTCCTAGATCACAGAACCCTGAAAAAAGGATGTTCCAAGATTTTCTGTATAAACACCCGGTGGGAGCCTCAGCCCTTCGGACCGGTCGCATGAGGACTTTTTGCCCTCTACTGGAGCCTCAGCTGCATCTTCCCTGTTCCCCTTCAGCTGCATTGGTACTTAACCCACTTGCAGAAGAGGCCAACCACCAGAACCACCAGATGGCGACCACCGTGGGCCACCGTGGGCCACCGTGGGGCGACCGGGACGGATCGGGAGACCTTCGGTTTTGGGCGAGTGAGCATGGTGGACCTAGAAAGGGCTCTCTGGTTGGTTTTGAGGGTCAAATGGTTGAGATACAATTCAACTGGTAGAGGGTCAAGTGGTGACCTTTTTGGGGTCTCAGTGGTTGTCTCTCAGGGTTGAGAGAAAAAGGGCAATTTTTCGATTGTAGACCAGACCCGATCATATGGAGGGGTCTGGGGGTCTCAAATCTGATGTATGACATGACTGTATGACGGGAAAGGGCTGGCTTCACGGAGAGTTTGGGTATGTTATAGACTTCCAGTCGCCCCCATCCTTCACTCTGCACCATCAGGAAGAGCTGGACGCGATCGCACGGCATCCCTGGGCTAAGAGCCACAAGGCCGGGCTGGGGCGGCCGGGCGAAACGGCGGTGCCGGTCTGACCGGCGGTAATCTGATGGCTGGCGGATTCTGGGCATGATTCCTTTGAGAAGGATGTAGAGAATATCGTTTTACTCGTTTTTTGAGATGTTTCAAAGTGTGATGTACAGGCCATGATTGAGATATCTCGAAGAATTCAACCAGTGTGATGTACACGCCGCATCTGTGCTGCACATCATTGGCCATGACAGTGATCACCCATTCACCATGCCGGAGAGAAGAAACACATCGTGACACCTTGAGAGCACCTTGGAGCCCTTGGTCGGGCATGGAAACTACAGGGACCCACAGCAATTGCCCAAAAAAAACTGAGCACCTTGAATCACCCTTAAAGATTTGGAAGCTGACACCGACTGACACCTCTGGAATGTTCCAACTCTTTCCCGATTGACGACCGGCAGATCCTGATTGACGACCGGCGCTGCCTGCAGCGCACCTGGAGCCATCCCACTCAATCCTGGTGGCGAAGCCTTGATGAGGTGCCGTGGACGTGGACGGGGCGTCGTGGACGTGGACGGGGGAGGGGTTTGGGTGAAAACATCGTCCAAAAGGATCCAAAGGTATAGTCCAACGGGTTGGTCGGAAGCCGAGTTGTTGGGGCAAAAAGAACCAGCATGTGATGCCAACACAGGACTCCTCTTCAAACAGTGCTTTTTGCTTGGAGGGCTTTGCAAAGACTTGATTGTTGGAGTAGGTGAACATCCACCAGTAGGTGTAAGTTGTGCCATTGCCATGCCAGACAACTCATTGGTGAGGACGACCTAGGTGAGCTGAAAGACATGGACTTCTGACTGTCTTCGTGTAAACTTTCGTGAATGGACATGGATATACTCATGGGCGGTGTGGACATGGATATAAGTATTTCAGGGGCCCATGTGACCTCTATAATTTTAAGGCCCCCCCCATATATACTCTACAGGCTGTTACCGAGAATGGATTTGTATGGATTTGTCAAAGCGATCCAAAAAGACCCTCCGCTCCGCTGTAAAGAACATCGACCATCGGATCTATGGGTGGCGAAGCCGCTGGGAAGCGATGTTCCGAATGCCGTCCCAGGGGTGTCCCACCAAAACCATGCAAATGTAAGTCAGATGATGTTCCTCAGCTCCTTAAGAACAACACGAAAAGGAATCAGAAAGGGTCCGGCATACCTATCATATCAAGCACATCCTCTCGTTTCTCATGTAATCCATTTCAGACTTCACTCCGTAGCGTAGCTCTTCATCTCTAAGTCTATCATCTCCCATTCTCATCCCTTCTCCCTGCTAGTCTTAACCAATGAAATCAACGGAACCTGGACGTTTCAGGAGATGGTCTTGGAGAAGCTTCGTACTGTGAACCCGGACTTTCACATCCGGTGCCTGATCTTCACTTGGGGACTCGGGGACCCCGCGGGCAAGCGAGCACACATTTTCTCCACTGGTGCGGTTCCTTTTTGGGTGACCCCAACTTAAGACTTAAGATCACTGATGGATCACTGCCCAAGTCGTAAGAGGCTTAAGACTCAAGGATCACGAGCATGGCCCCTCACAAGGTCAAGGCTACTGGGTTTTCGTTCGATCCATTGCTGTACGCTGTGCTCCTTTAGGACTGATGTCACCATCTTGACACCGACTGCACTGGCTAGTCACATTTCAGGCGCCAGGATTTTTCCACCTACTCAAGCCTCGAAAGGGACCTTGATATGGCTGTGGGTCAGCATGGAAGGGACCAGGACAGGCTTAGGGAAGCAGAGCTTCCCTGTTTGCCCATAGTATCACATCAAGAAGGGATGAGTGACAAGTGCTCAGGGAGGCAGAATGGCAAAGCCAAAATCCACCACGACGTCGGATGACAATGTTTTTTTGAACCTCAAACACACTTTCGATTAGAAAGATCATGCCCTCTGTCGGTACGCTACGTGTAGGAGCAACCACTTTAGCAACCACTTTTACTTAGGCTTCACTAAAGTAGTCCATGGCATGCTCTATTTGCTTGTTTATCATCAGTATTTGCTTGTGAACGAGATAGGGCCCCCACATTTACGAGATTCTTTTGTTGATTACACTAAAGTAGTCTGAACGAGATAGTGTGATTTGCTACTAAAGTAGTCTGAAGGAGATACTGTGACATGACCTCCTACTTAAGTAGTCCAAACGAGATAGGGCCCCCACATAGTAGATATATAGTGTTTTTGAGTTTAGCACCAATTTAATGCCGCCGCACACACACACACATATATATATATACATATGTAAAGGAGCAGACTGATCTCTTGTTGGATCAATGAGCACACTCTTGGATTTTCTGCCACTCCAAGGGAATTTTGCTAAGAACCAATGAAGAAAGAGACCAATAGCACCAGGCCCATAGCACCAGGGTATGGTGCACGCTGTGATGAACATTCACAGGTACATTGATGGATTGACTCCCGAAGACATCATTGCCGCGGTGCCTGCTGACCAGTAACAACTTGGCGGAGTTGCTGTTGCAGGAGGGGACTGAGCGCTTGACGAGTCATAGCCCAGAGACATGTCATCTGTAGATGTCCATTGCCCAAACCGCTCCCGACTCTTTGCCTTGCTATTTCCAGCAGAATCCGACTCTTTGCCTTGCTTTCAAGCAAGCCGAACGCCCCCAAGTCCAGGACACATGGCCGGCCTGGTGAGGTCTTTGCCGCAGCGGCGGGCGATGCCCCACTCCACCGATCCCGCCACTCCAGCGGAGGGCGCGGGGAAGTCCTTTGGAGATCTGCGGAGATCAGCGGAGCTGTTTCCGAGTGAACACCCGCAGCGCTTTCCCCCGCGGAACCTGCGCGCGCACAAAAAACGAGTTTTCATCCAGATCCTGGTCTTTCGATGCACGCAGACTGTAGATGCAGCGCATGGATGCGAAGTGAGGAAAAAGACAAGCTGTTGCTCTTTCATGCTCCTTCTATGTCAACCTTACCCAGTCCCCACGTCAACCTGGTCCTTCGACGTGGAGGGGAGTCATCCCGACTCTCCGCGCGTTCGGAACGAGACATCCCAATGGGTTTTGGTTGGCCCTCCGGGGGGGGGGTTTGAGCTGGAAGGCTGGGTTGGCCTGGATCCGGTTCCAGTTTAGACCTGAAACAGGCCGCGTGGGTCCGCATGGACAGGTTGACTCAAAGGCAATGGACATCTCTTGTTCTACTGACATGTTGAGCCGAATCGCATCACTCTCATTCACTCTCCACGGGTGAAGCTGGTACTTGAGATCTCTTGACCACCAATATCAAGCAAGTTAGCAAGTCGAAGAAGCGGGAAAGGATTTGCTTGCAGAAGAGCCATAAGGGTTGATATGCTGTATAATCTCTGTGCACATATATATATATATAATACAATATATATATAGTCGTATATTATATAAAAATAATATACTTATATTATATCATGCTATATATTGCATTATACAATCTTATACACTTATGCAGGTGTCTGTGTATCTGTGTGTGTGCCACTGCGGTCAGGCCTCATGGAAATCCTCCAGGACGAACGCTTGGCCCCCAGGGCGTTGGACACCCGGGCGACTGGACACCTCTCAACCGAATTCGGCCAATGCACTGGTTACTGGTAGCAACTATAGCTACAAGTAGTAATGCCCTTGTTACGTTCGTAGCGATGCCCCTGCTACTACTAGCTTCTAGCTACTAATGCTACTAATGCCCTTGTTAGACACCTCCCAGTCTTGATCATAAGTGGATTGAACCCTTAAATATCTCCCATCTCGAGAGAGGGAATCCCAGAGCCTGTCATCGAGATCTGTCTCCGTCCTTCTCTCAGCGAGATCCGAAAAACACCCGGTCACCCGACCATCCAATCAGGTATACAGTAGGTTGAATCCCTGGCCAGTCGGGGTTCCCGAAGGCCCGGTTAGGCACGGGCCTCATCAAATCAGGTTTGACTGCATGTGACTGCATGGTTGGCACATTCATCTCATGCGAGTGGAATGAGCGTCGAATCAGAGTGGGTACCACCCGACGTTCGAACACCACTCAGTACGCATCTGGACCGCCATCGAACACACAAGCAAAAATTAAGTCCGCCAAAAGGAAGACATTTGCAGCTGAAGACCAGATGGTGTAGCTTCGGTTGAGAAGTCCTATTTCAGTGCATGGAACTAGTTGATTGAAGCTAGCTAGTTTGGTGGCCGAGGTGGCATCGGACTCGTCGTGAAGGATACATTCAGGTGTTTTAAGAATTAAACGACACATTCAAGGGATGTCCGGGATAGACATGCAGGCAGTCTGAACACCCATGCATGCTGCAGGCCAGTAAGAGAGAGAGAGAGAGAGAGACGGTTGATCACTTAGATAAGATACCACGTGTGATGAACAACTACTCACCATGGCTGACCATCCTAAACATGTGCTTGTTACTGGACTGAAAAACAGTTACTGACGGCGCAGGGGGGGGGCCATCCCTGATGGTGGACTCGTCGTCGGATCTGAGAACGGACCCTACAGACGGACCCAGACCAGTCTGTGGGGTGAACGGATGGTGCCATGGTGTTGGCCTCCACATGTGCGGATGGCCGTACAGTATTTTTTCTTTTTACAGGATGCCATGCGAGTTGCTTGGCGCTGTGGTGCATCAGCGTGGGTTGGCTGTTGACATGTGTTGACTCTCATTCTGATGGCACTAGGAGCAAGAACGCTACTAGGGGCTATAGGCCTTACTACTAGGAACAAAGGGCATCGCTACGAACGGAACAGGAAGCTACGAACGGGGCTCCGGAGCTGCAAAGATCTGCTATACAGTGCTATGCCGCCACATAGACACTCTTCAGCTTCCTTTCTGCGAAGCATGTCCTTCTGCGATGTTTTGCAGGTATTCTGTCCGTTGCTTGGCTATGACAG